AAATCACGAGAGAAAAATGTAACACGTTGACCTTTAAAGCTCCAGACGCAGACGAGGAACATTTCCAGTTTTGGGAGAGCTTCCTCTTGAGAAGGTGCTTCGGTCACTCTGTGAGAGAGATGACCACAGAGATGGATTTTACTCGGCTCATAATCAATCAGTGACATGATACAGTCCAGTTCAAACTGACCAGGTTTAAAGGAATAAAGAGCAATATCTGAATAATAAGAACAGACCTGATCGATTGAATTTCCAATGTGTTCAAGTCCTGTGATTCGTGTGGGAAATCTTAAAATGAGATTCTTTTCGGATATGACAGGACACAGTTTAAGTGTTGAGTGTGGCACTACTCAAATTCGGGTTTATTTATCCACCTTCCAGGGTTTGCATCACTGCAAGCAGTCAGGAATGCTTTTCAGAAACAGATACTATTCTTTCTGATTCCTCATCCTGCTCACTTTCTGTTGAATTCACTTCTAAATCACCGCTCACCCAGAGTGATCGGGGCTGTCTAATATCAAATTATCATTGAATATTTTACTCTGAGACAGAATATATATCATTTTGGTCAAATGAAAAAGCTGTCAGAAGTCCCAGAAACCTACATTTCTAAATGGGAGTCAATAGGTGTAGTATGAATGGGTGTTTGTTTCCCTTTCAAAGGGCCGTCCACAACTCATGGGAGTGGGTCAAAGCCATGCTGATCCCTGTTGTGTATTTAGGTTTTTGCGTACTGTTCCATGACTTGCTGTGTTCCGTCTGAGTGGAAGATGCTGAAGAAGTGAATCCTGCTTTAATCCGATGAGTTTGTTTTCTGTGGGATTTCGGCACCTGGGCAGCTTTATCGCAAAAACCAGAAGCCCGTCCAGGGATGGTGATACGTGTTGGGTCCATGGAGGGGGAGTCCTCAGCATCTTAGACCTGCCCCTGGTCCACATCGTGTGACCACCTGAACACCTGATGAAGACGTTCTGCCTCCCTGTGGCTCTCCTCTGACCGGCTTGACCACTGTTCTCCGGACAGGGCGGCCCCACCCGGCAGCCAGCGTTGACCTG